CCCTGTTTAGTGACTGAGCAGTCATGTAGTGTCTGTTTAAAAAAAGATTAAATGTTGTTGTAGGATGATTTTCAAGAACAAGCTGGAAGAACAAATGTTCCACTGATAACTCCACTATATTTCTCATCTCAACAAAGCAAAGGCACTGACAAACAGTAAATCTCCAGGGGTTTCTCAAAGTGCTCAATGGACCACTGAGTGTAAGTTAGGAACTATATGATTTGTATCTTCACAACCACTAATATATTTTGTAGAAAACACCTTGGCATCTGCTGCTGTTTCCTTCTCTGCTTTTGAGAGGATCAGTGAGCACTATCCCTCATCTACAAGATCCAAAGCATCCACATGAAAATGTCTCATAAATGTGTAATACAGCTCCTGTAAATGTTCTAAGGTCATAATCTTCTGTGCATAAATGTAAAATGAAAACTGATGTGACTGTGCTATGGAAGCCCTGTGCGGAGTGCGTATTACGTGACCTCCAGGCCATCTGAGCTACACAAGTTAATCACAAAATAGAAAGTAAACTTGGTATTGTATTTGTTCTTCATATATTATTCAACAAGAAAACCACAGTCTCAGTCAATACATCTTAACCAGACTATTTCAGACTCACATATCCTCCTCCTCTGTTCTATTTCTGATAGCATGATGACGTTAAAACTCAGAACTTTTTCACTGACTCAGAGGTGCCAACCTTGGCTGCAGATGTACAGTTAATTAGTGGCAAAACCACATTTCAGGTAGCATGGCAGCCAAATCAGTGGTCCATGAGTTTGGAGCTGAAGACATGAAGCAGCTGATCAAATTGGGAAAATCACAGCTTTGCAGTCTCAAGAAAATTCATTGTATTTCTGTGCAGCTTGAAGGTGACACCTTCTATTAACCCTAGTAACATAACATTTGCCAGCTAGTTAGACTATGAAGCTTTATTTATTGAACATATTTACAGAAACACCTGAAAGGTTTGGGTGGTTATTTACCTTTGTGTCTACTGCTCCTGTGGAGAGAGACTCTCTGCTCTGGACTGTCTGGCAGCAGACCGTGAAACCAGCGGCGATGCAAGTGTTGGACCCCAAGGCTCCGGGACGCAGGCCAGTGCCGCCCTGACTTGACTCCCCCTCCGGACACAGACTGAATGGCGGCCCATCTGGAGCGCGCCCTCATGCCCAGACCTGCAGCCCTGAGGGCAGTAGGAGGTGCTGCAAGGGAAAGAATGGGTGGCAGGATGGCAAAGTTTGGCTCGGAGACTCTAATGCCGGAGCGCTGCAGGAGCAGGATGCTGCCTGCCATCAGATAGGCAATCCCCAGGCAGAGCAGTAGCATCTGAGCCCGTTTCAAGAGGCAGTGCAGCTTGTAGCGGGGCAGCACCATTCCCACACGGTTTACCTTCTCTCACCTCAGTGGAAAGCCATTTCATGGATTAGGAGCAAGAAGATGGATCTGTAACCTACTTACAAGTTCACAATCTTGGAAAGACCTGAAGCATCTGGCAGTGAAGTAGATATTGTGTCTTGGGCCTTCATCACCACAGAGTCCAGTAGCAACAGGGGACCAATGACGGCGTAACAACACAGGAGGATTTAATATCAAGGCATGTGGTCACCGACTCCAGGATGATCCTTTGGAAAAAGCTGTAGCACTAAATCAGAAAAAAAGAAAAAAACAAAACACAAGCAGCTGGGTTTATTTCTCTGTATGTGAGCACAGTCAGCAGGGAGTATATGCCTGTCGGGTCACATGCACAGCTCATGTTGACATGTGGGCTTATGTTTGTGTCTTGCAGCATTTTGTAACTCAACCCCTGATTGTTTTGTTGCTTTCATTCCTAGCATTTGGTTTTAATTCAGTGCCCTGTCTGAAGTCATGTTCTGCACCTCCTGTGATTCCTGCTTTGAGGCCGTGCTGGGACTGTGCTCTCCTGTCACCATAATCAGTTTCAGTGAGCAAATTAACCTTTAGAAATATGTTCTGTAAATTGGAGTCTCTTTCTGTGCAGATATTTTATCTAATTTCTGCACCTTAACACTGGCAATATCTCCCAGCCTCAGTGTCTAAATCAGTCTGACATCATGTGATTTAAAAAACGCATTCTGGCCGCCTGTGAAACCAGGAATATCATAGCTGAATGCAGAAAATCTCTGGCCTCATCGGTGTAGAAGTGAATAGAGTAAAAAAACATGCAAAGGGGATGTTGAGGATTTCTGAATAATTCATAGTAGATAATTCATAGTAGCATGATACTTTGAACTGAGGGACAGTAAGTGCAGCCCTGACCTGCTGCTTTGTGGTTTTGCATGGTTTGTCTTTGACACAGCTGATAGTACATACAGTCTATAGAGCTTTGTAGCTACTGGATGTTTGCCTCACAGACTGGCTCCACATCTGATGATATCCGTTGCCTCATTGTCGCGGTGGCCGTCACATACTGGCATTCCCTTCAGTTCTACTTTCTGTCTAAATTTTCTTGTGATGCGGAGAACGGAAGCAACAGTTTGCACAATGAACAGTCTCTGATCAAGTGCCCAAGTTAAGTACAACTCCGATTTTTTGCCTATGCACACCATAGCGCATCTTACCCCAAATATCTAAACCAGTCTGATTTTATTTAATGAGACGATTGGGTTGAAAGATAAATTAATAAACAGCGAGTCCAAACACCCATCACCTACTTAAGAAGCCTAGGTCTTCCATCTTAAAACCCTTCACTGTGCCGCCACCATTTACAGTAGAGGATATTTGAACATGCGGCTTACCTTCACCAGTGGACTGGTATGCACGGCATCCTCGTACCGTGCTATCATTTAACAATTTATAGCCGATGGTGATCGCTGTTTTCCTCGCTCAGTGTGGAGAGAAGGTACCCAGACTGTCCAAAATTTCCCAGAGAGGGCATTATATAAGCACTCTCTCCCTCTCTAGATCTCGGTCAGAGCTGTTCTCAGTCGCTCTGAAAGACTAGCACGGCGATATAACGCTCTCTCTTTCTCTCTTCTCTCTCTCTCTCTCCTCTCTCTGTGTGTGTGTGTGTGTGTGTGTGTGTGTATGTGTTTTGCTAAAAGAGAGAGAGAGGAGGGGGTAGACATTCTCATTTGCATCAGGGATCTAAACGCGTCACAGCTCCTCCACTGTGCAAACGACAGAATCGTGTCCAGCAGACCACAGCTTCCACTGCACACAAAAAGGGCCTTCTAATAAACCGCTTCGCCTTCTATACCACAACATATCCTCAGAGTTTCACATCCACCGAGTCTTTATGGCTGGGCACTGTTGGGCCACGGTATGGTCTTTAACCAGACCCAGTCAGTATGCCCGCTTCGAGTTTCGGTGAATAAACAACTGTAGCTATACTAAACCACCCATCAGTCTTGGCGTGGTACTTATCTGGTGTGTAACCAGAACTGATCCCGCTTTTTTTATGAGAGCAGGAGCGAAGAAAAAATGTATTTCGCAGCCATATCTCTGAAGTCCTATCAGGACTAAAGATCCAGAACTCAGAGCTGAGCAATTTGTTGTCTACATTTATAGTTCACTTGATTTAGCGTCCAGTTGAAGGACTAAGTCAATGTACTTTCATCATCAGTCAAACTGGTTTGACGTTCCTGCATTTTAGCACCACGTCTGCGCGCTCTTGCCATGAACAAGGCAAATTAACGGTGCGTAACTAAAGGTTTTGTCATGGCTGATTGACCTTGCGTGTCCTGGATACAAGTGCAAAGTCCCAAAAATAAGCATCTCCTGTCATTAATCTGACCTGGAGTCTCAAAATGCTAAATAGTTCTGTTTCAGAAAACATCTTAAGAAATTGTTCAAGAAGTTTCTAAATGTGGAAAAGATAAGATATTGAGGGGGAAATGATCAATGTTTCAAAACACACACACAGGAATATGACCATTTTCAGCCATGTTTTTGTTCAGATTCAACTCTAAATACTAACAAATCAAATATGTAATGTCACTGGGATTTGAGTATTTCATGGGGCATTTCTAAATATTATGATAGCACTGATTTAATTGGGTTGCATATGCATACATGAAGTATTTCACGAAATGTGCAAATATGCTAGGAGAACTTGTGAAAAGATCAAGTGCTTTCTTTTCAGCAAATATGATAGGCTCATTACTGTTCTTGAATGTCTCTAGAAAAAATACCAAGCATATAAGATAATAAAAAAGAATCCATTAAAAGAAGCAGAAAATCTCAAAGTCATGTTGCTGGAGATACAGCAACTATGCATAGGAGGCGAATAGTTTAAAGATGAGATTTAACCCTGTGGCTCCCAGACTGTTTCTGCTGGCCACCACCATCCCACCCCATGACCATATATGTCAGTTATATTTAGTAGTGTTTTACTTTTATATGTTACATTCTGCCACTTGTTAGATATTTGATCACATGCAGGCACAAAGTGATCACAACCAGACGTCCACACAATGTGACATATACTTCCAGTGTACATAAGAAGTCACTATTATTTATCATGTATTTTATAATTTAATTTTTTTTTACCCCTTTATTGATGCAGGCCTTTCCATAGGTTTGTTTCACAGTTTTTAAAAAATGCCTCCCCCAGTGAGCTTAACACCCCTGCTATCATCCCAATCAGCAAATCACTGGTTCTCAGCTTTTTCTCTTGTGGTTATACTAGAGCTGCAACCCTCTTTGCATGAACAGCTGCACAAAAAACAAAGCAGCTTATCCACAGGAGTCTGCCACGGGAGATGGTCAGAGAGCAACCATGCCATTCAAACTATTTGCTTTTATTACTTTCCCTTTACAGTATCTATCTCCCCTCTCACCTCCTGCTTGCTTTTTGAAAGGATGGTGCCATGTGTCCCCAGCACGACAGTCATTTTAACCTTATTCAACCCTTCAGGCCAGCTTGCACTCAGTCCACCGTAGTGACAGGATGCCGGAGCTGTCAGTCAGTAGTCCCAACACCAGGGCTCATCTCTTTGGTCTCTGCCTTTCTGTGCTGCCTCACAGACACTGATCACCTCAGACAAGACAGAAACACTTGCTGCTGTCTTTATGCAGCACAATGCCTCAGTCTCTCGCCATCCTCTTTGTGCTCTCCTACACTACTGTCATTCCTCTGTTTTCTCATAGTTAGAGAGAAGTGGTATTTTTAATGCAAACATTTTTATTCAGCACTCAACAAAAAATAAACCGTGCGCACATACTGTATGTTAAATATTTAGGCTTAATTATGGGTGAGAATTTGAACTGAAAGGAGGATATCAGTGTTCTAGTGAGTCAAGCAGACTGAGCAGTGTGGTCAGTGTGGACCATAAGGTTCTGGAATTCCTAACAAGTCCTCCAACCAAAACAGCAGGTCGTTTAAGTACCTGTGGCATATCCTATCATCTGGGTGTCTTTTTAGGGAAGACAATCTTGGACTTACACAACTGCTGAAGTCTTGTCTTTGCCTCATTTTAAATGATGCTGCCAAACATAAAATGTGATCACAGGCATAGACACCTTTTATTGGGGCACGTGCCCCAGTATTGATCCGCGGTGCCCCACTAAAATCACATGTTTGGATTTTAACAAGCTCCTGTATTTGGCAGTGGATTAGTTTAGATTGACAATAACAGGAAAATAAATGATTTGTTGTTCTAACCTAGAATATCAAAGCAAAATACAAGATGAGGTGCAGTGTACCCCACGGTGCACACGTATGCATGTTGTGCACCAGCTATGACGCAGTAATCCATTTACTGGTGCATTAAACAAAAGAAAGGAATGGACTAAATTAAGTTTTTGAATAATGCTGATGATCGTATTGTGACTTCAACATAGCTGACTCCTGCAGATGGACCTGAGAAAATTCTTTAGAGGAGGCTGAGACAGGGGAGAAGTTCAGAGAAATGTGAAGTAAATCAAAACTATGTACATCAAGGCATCTGATCAGTTGGACTGCTATTAAAATGCTATTTATCGGTGTACTGCATGAATTAAAATGAACGCCAAGTGTGATAGAGGTCTGTGTTACCTCTGGACTATTCATTCTGCATTTAATGAATATACTGTAACATATTTGTCACACAGTCCAAATGATGTTAGTTTTATGCACATTTAACAAACAGGTGAACCTGAAGCAGGAAGGAAAAGTGTGGAGGAAGCCGTCTGTGTCTGTGGAGACAGGAGTGTGACCACCAGCCATCCACTGCACAGCACAGTTTGGAAGTAGTCGGAGCATTGGTATGTTATGTGGCCTTATGAGTTACAAAAATGATTAGATTGTGTTTTTAATTAATGATTTGTTGACAGATTAACTTGGGGGACAATCAATCTGGGGTTGTTATTATTGTGTAACGCAGAAAAATGCAAAGACATGTGCAATAAATGATAACGTGCAATACAGGGCCAGACTTTTATGCCATAAAATCAATTTGAGATTGTTCTTAATAAATGTTGAGATAGATATTTTCATAAACATTCATATCTCTACATTTTTACCTTTAGTTTCAGTAGTAGCAGTGTGGCATTGGTATTGTAAGCTAAGCAAGGGGCGTTCATATAGCACAGTGAAGGCTATAGCACATTTCATTCATACAGAAGATGTTCAAGAAAAACATTTGAGTGATGGGGGAACTCTTTTCTTAAAGAAAAATGAATAGGCCTATTTGCATAATCTGGTTTAATTTCATAACGTTGCATTATTGTGAGCGCTTGAAGAGCCAATCATCAGTTAAGAGTATGTGCTGCAAAATGGAACGCTCCAAATTGTGATACTCAAACTTAAGATGTGATCGATTCACAACGTCGACTCAAACAATGTACGCTCCGATTCAGACTTGGCACCTGTGAGTGTTTGTGTGTTATGTCCAATCACATAACGTCATCCAGACTGACAAACTAGGGTGTGATCTCCAGGAGGGGCCATGGAGACAAACATCAGATGCGAAGATCAGCAGCAGGAACAGACAGTTAACTTAAGTGATGGTGGGATTTAAACAGACCGTATTACCTGTGTACCTGTCCGTGATCAGCTGTAGGCCTATATGGGGCTAGCAGGGCACAAGATGGCCAAACCTTGGCACATGCTGACCAGTCGCAAGGCTGCACACAGCTGATGTGTTCACTGTTGCTGGTTGACATGTAAACCAACATGAAGCAGGAGGAGCTCAGGGAACACTCAGTAAGTTGGGGAATCAGTTTAACACTTGAGTGGAGGGCATCTATTTTCCTAAAGCTTTCTGAGGCATTAGATGACTGGTCATGACAAATGTGTGTGTGTGTGTGTGTGTGTGTGTGTGTGTTGGGGGGGGGGGTCCCCTAGTTGGTCCTCCGTGGAGATTGCGCCCCAGTAATAAGATTATCTATGCTTATAATTCATGCTGTGACAAATGGCTACTGAGTCATAGTTATTCTGCCACACCAGAGAATGAAGTCATGATGTCAGTCTTTACATGGGTCTTGAAAGAATACACAGCTTAACTGGGCATGTGCGTCATAGGTGCGCTCCATAGCACTACTGCTCACAAGAAAAAAAGGCTTGTTTGACTTGGACATGCTGTGGGCAGGGATTAGTGAGGTTATGGCTCTTTTATTTTCAAAACAGGTCTGCTGATGTTTTGTGCAAAGTATGAATATAGATTTTTACATGAAGCCAAATTTCCCCAATACACTCAGGTACAAATTAGATTTCTATTGGCATGTCTCGATATAGTTATTACAACTAGCCTAGACCTCTCCACAATGGAAATGGCTTTGATGGTGTCCATGAGAAACAATAACAGACAGTTTTGAAGACAGTTTTGTGACTCACATGATGCTAAAGCCCAAATTGCATTTTTCCTGCTCACTATGTGATGATTTAAGTGCTACACATTTTAGTTAAATGCTCATTTTGGATGAGTTCTAGATGTTTGATTGTTATCACTGTTTATTTTCCACATTTCTATTTCAACTACCACAAGGGTTGTGGTCTGGATTCACTTTGCACTGTCATTGCTTAGCTGAATCTACAGTATTTGTCTCTAACTTCATAGAGTGCA